ATAAAATACATTCTTTATGAGTAACAAACTTCAAGTGCGAACTGACGCCCGCCTTGCGTCGAAAGATGATCTATTCCAGATAGTATTGAGTGAAAACGCGTTGGCTAAGAAAGACTGCAAAATGAAAAGACTTCCGAGAGACTGACTTTTAAATTTAGTCGGAAACATGCAGAAGCGACCAATCAGCCAATCACGTACAACGAACCCAGTTCCAACAAAATTTACGCGCCAACGGGGAATATCAAGTGCTCAAAGTGCTATCATGCGTTTCTGCAACGAATAAGCTGTGGACAAACAGGCACAGCATGAAAGTGCCAAAAGCGAAGCAGCTAGGTCCGCTATGTGGATCTCTGACTTACGATGCTAGAAAATTTTGAAAATTTTGCTAGAAAATTTTGCTCTACGATCCGCTCCGCAGCCACTGAGAGCAAGGTGACGCGCCCTTTTAAGCATTTAAGCAAGTTCATCAGCACTGACAAAGAAAAAATCAAAAAAAAAAAAAATTTGCCCATTCCTCCCAGCCCACAGGATGAGTTGCGCAGTCTTTCTCGCCAAACACCCAGCACGCTAATGGCAGCCCCTCATCATCCTAAACTGTAACAGTGCCTTCATCGTCTCAATGCCCACTGGCGTCTTCTGCGCATCATTCCCCTTTTCCCAATACCTTCAGTGTGCATACGCAGGGATTAAATCTCCTAATTTGACGACGCCTCCAACTCTCTGTCCTTTTAAACTGCAGTTCTTTGTCTGGTAATATGAATGTTTCTCTTTATGTTTTTAGCTATATGCAAATGCAAAAACCCACACTGTGACGACCAATGATGTGTATGTATAAATGTGTGTGCATGTATAAGTGTGTGCGCAACGTCTCTCTGGGTCTTTCGATCTCGAGAACTTACGAAAGCTATAAAGCTGAAACTTTGGCAACATAGCCTACATCTGCATACGGGTTACCAGGTGTACAGTAATCGCTCATTTCCTTCTAGTTCTCACCCACAGATACGTGAAAGATTTTCTGGCGGAAAGCGATTTAGAGAACCAGACAAGCTCAAAGCCGAAAGCTTTACGATGTCCCTTGCCCACATGTGGCCCAAAGAATTTAAATTAAGTCACCGCGTAGCCTTACATCTGGCGCACGCACATGCCAAAATTTAGACTGGCATTATGCCATTACTCGAACTACACTGAGTAGAAAGTTGTAGACAGCTGCAATTTTACAACTTTGTTTGCCGTACAATGATTTATGAAGGAAAATTTCGCTCTCGCACCCTTCTACGTGTCGCGTACGGGCATGTGGAATTTGAAGCAGATAATTTTGTAAAAAGCAACTAAACGGCTGAAATTTTTTGAGCATGGCTAATGGCCGTGTTTGGGCAGGTTTACTTTTCTTTTATGTCTCATGTACGCTTCATGTGAGAACGCGTGAAATATGTCGCAGCTCAGTAACCAAAAAAGCTAGATTTTTCATCTTTTGCTCAATTTTTATAAGACAACCGTGAAAATAAAGACCACATTTCTATGACTAATGCGTTTATCTATTTGTTTCGCACGTACCTTTCTTGTAACTGGCCATATTACCAACAATAATTCTGTGGCAAATAATGCAAAAAGCGCATTTTCACACCGGCAGCCCGTGCTTCGGCAAACAGGTTTCTTTCCTCAGGCTAGTTCAACTTGCTCCAGCCAATTTTTTTTGCGTTTTGCGCTGTGCAACTGCGTACAACGCAAATTGTTATGAGCCAGCATAAACCCGCAAAAATCTTGACGGAAAACCTATTACGAGGACTAGAAAAGCTAGAAACTGAAGATTTAACGCGATGTGTAGCCCAACAAGTTTAACTTCAGCCTTCCCTTACATTTGGGTGCCGTGTATGGCTCCGTGAAAGTTTTGGCGGGAAAAATTGTTGTCTCAGGACCCACGGAATTAATATCCCTGAAAATCTGCGGCAGTGTTTCTCGCCCACGTTTAACCCAGCAGATGTAATTCCAGCCCTCCCGTAAGCCTGAGTACCATGTTCGGCCCCGTGAGAGCTTCGGCGAAAAAACCGTCATCTGGGAAACCATGAAAGGAAGGAAGTTGAAATTTCCTTACTTTCATGGTTCCCCAGATGACAATTTCCTTACTTTCATGGTTCCCCAGATGAATGTCTCCTAAACATGCACGACTCCATAAATTTAAATTCAGCCCTCCCATGCGCTTGGATACCACGTACGGCCCCGTGTAATTTTTGGCGGAAAAAATGACAATAAACTCCAACAAAATTTCAGTTCCTTGACCACAGAAGTTACGGAGCTGAAATTCTGGGGTAATTTCCCCCGCCCACGAGCGATCCAAAGCAAATTTAAATCCAGCCTTTCCTGCCCCTTGGTACCACGTCAGTCCCGTGAAAGTTTTGAGGAAAAAATTATCATCTAGGAAGTCAGAAGAGCTAGGAGGCTGAAAATTTCAGGAGGTTTTCTGCCTAGGCAAAGGCCTCACAAACTGAAACTTCAAGTATGTCGAAGTCCCCATACGACCACGCGAAAATTTTGGAGCGAAAGCCATTCGAAAGCCAGAAAACAAGAGGTTGAAATTTTGGAAGAATTTTCATCGTTCAAATTCAGCTTTCACGTACATCTACATTTCACGTGCTGGCATGTGAAACTTTTAGTGAGGAATTTCGCAGCTTATCAACCGAATAAAATATCGATAACTTTTGCACAGACCAATGCGTAAAACAGTGAAAATTCTCAGGAGACAAACGTCCGCTGCAAGGAACTTCGCAAAACGCATAATCACAGACGCTCCCTTGATGCATATCGCTTCTTATTTATTGTCTTGTTATGTCGATAAGTGAAATACCGAAGATGAGTTTATGGCTCGCTTCGTTCTAGAATGCCAAACCAATACCAGAAAACTAGCTCTAGATTAAACGTGGCGTCGCAGGTCCAGTCATCAAAAAACGTTAACAAGACGGCTCACACAGTGAATTGAACTACTCTGATCTCAGCACTCTTGAACTCTGGGGCTGCACTAAACCAAGGAGGTTAGAAAAAAAAGTGAGCTGAGCGCTGATTTCGGAAAAATCTCGTGTGTGGTCATGCGCTATGATAGCGAAACTTCGATTTTCCGGCTTCCACAGTTGCAAAGTTGACTTCGCCGGAGACGGGAAGACGAAACTCACTATACCGCGTATTCTGCTTCATTTAAAAAGCTTCTAAGTGAGAATATACGCATATCCGCATACCGCTCATATCTAACATAACGACGGCAATTCTCTCTTGCCGACAGGTTGCAAAATGCGTCAAGTGTGAACCATCAACTTTAACAGTTCAACTGACTAGCCCCTGTTTGCGCTGTGTTAACTGAAACGGTAGCATGCGGCAATCTTCTGCCCTCCATTCTACGCACAGACTCTTTGTTTCTGCATACTCGAGGCTCGAAAGAGCACGATGCCAGTGAAATGAGGTACCATGCGGCTGTTATCGTGCTGGGTTTGGCGCAACATTATAACGCTATGTGTACGTCATGCAATGGATGTTGAACATTCCGTCGCGTGGAAACCGGTAGTGCAAGCGGACCTCTCTAACAGGAAAATTTTGATTCACCCTCATACTGTAATCCTGGTAACTGTATGATGACAGCAATGCTCGGCCCCCGGAATGCACTGGTAGCCACCATCAGACGGCTACATCAACCAATATTTGTCCAGTTTTTATGCTTTTTGCCTATATACAAATTGTAATTTAGTCGAAAGCGTACCGGCTGCAGGTACGAGCATGCGTTTTTTGCACAGTTCCCCCTCAGGTTTTTTTCGCAAGTTTAACATTATAACGCTATGTGTACGTCATGCAATGGATGTTGAACATTGGCATGCTCTTCCCGGCAGATGATTCCAGCTAAAAGAACTGCGACTGACCACCACAAATGTTAGAAATGACTACCAATCCAAGTCCAAAAAATTCGGCGCTCTGGATTCTTCGGTTGCGGAGTTGCGCCAAATTTCACGTGTTCGTACGTGAGCGGCAATGGGAGTGCCTTCCTCGCTTGCGGCTACTTAAACACGGCCCTAGGCAGCGCTCAAAAAGTTTCAGTACTCAAGCTGCTCCGGTTGCAGAGCTACGTCAAATTTCACATGTTCGCACATGAGTGCTTCCTTCGCCCGCGGTTGGTCAAACACAGTCCTGGGTAGCGCTCAGAAAGTTTCAGCACTGCTCTGATTGCAGAGTTACGCCAATTTTAACGTGTGTAAGCGTGAAACATACGTGAGACGTGAAAGTGATGTGTAAATCGTTTCTGCGTGCATCTGGTCAAAGGCCACCATCGGTTGTGCTCAGAAAGTTCACGGCCTCCGGCTGGTTCAATTCTACAGTTACAAAAGCGCATGCGTGAAATTTTCATGTGTTCGTACGTGAAATGCAGAAGAGCTGACAAGCAATTTACTTTCACAGACACAACAGTGGGAGACAAGTAACGCTGCAGGATTGCAGTCTCTGCAGCTTATTGACCACCTTAAATATGGAGTTGGCATGATGCCAGTTTAAACTTTGAAGTGTGCGTATGTGAGTCCTGAGGGTACGTGAAGGCTGAATTTGAAATCTTTGGATTAGACGCGGCCAAGGAACAACTCTGTGAAGTCCCAGCCTCCTAGCATAGGCCGTTCTCGAAAACGCTTTCCCGCCAAAAAATTTTCATTTTCCACTACGTGAGAACCACGCGGAGTAGAGCACCCATTTTGAGGATACGAGTCCGCACGTATGCGTAGATTAAGTCACTAAATTGTCAGCCTTGTAGCCTTTGTGGATCTCAGGATGAAAACTCGTTACAGACGCACACACAGACACACATACATACATAAATACACAGACACACACAGACAACCCCTCGACAATATGTGCTTTTGCATTGTACAGCTGCAAAAAACGCATGTTGCAACGACCCTGTCTGTGTGTATATATTTGTATGTGTGTGTGTGTGTGTTCGTCTGTCTGCGTATTTCAACTCGGCAACCAAGCAAGTTCCAGCGCCAAGATTTTGCTAATGCGTACCCCGGCCAAGTGCCATCTCAGAACCGCGGTACCAACCTTCAAGCACGTCTGGGTCCCACGTACGACAACGTTAAAGTTTTGGCAGGAAAACTGATAGCTCCGGAACGAGAAAAGATAGAAGGCTGAAACCTTGGGAATATGTGCCCAAACCACGTGTGATCTCCCCTCCCCGCCCCCCC